AAGTCCAAAACCATAGTCAGAAACCTCCTTTACGGATAATGATAAAAAAATCAAAGCCGATGTGAAATCATCAAATCCAAAGAATCCTGTCGTCAAAATCCAGTAAATCAAAAATTGCAAAGGTAAAGCCAAATGACAGGAGGAACTTATCTGGTAGATCTTAGAAATTAGTGTTAAAAAATATGGAGGGTATAGCCCAAATAAAACAAATCAGACAGCACAATAATAGTCACACATGAATTTGACATCTGGCTTAAAAGTCATCTGGTCATGGTTATTTTCTCTACAGTATGACACAGCGGCTATGGTTTTCTGAGTCTCGGGAGTAAGAACATAGTAAAATCCATTATCAGAGGGGAAACCTAAAAGTGGACCATTTATCTACGGCTAAGTTAAAAATTGCATATTGATGACAAATACCCCTTAAGGCAAATCTAGAACCCGTCCAATCTAGGGGCTTAATTGGAAAAACCAGACCAAATATCACCACCCATTCAACGTTCTTTTATTAACAGGTTAGATAACACTAAAATTATCATAATACTCTAATGGAAAACAAACCTAAGAGCAAAGCAATCATCCAAGGTTAAGAGGGAAATTACTTATAGAAAAGGAAAAGGTACACGCTTTTCATAGTATTTTAATTTTTTTGGTCTAGCAAGTTGGATATTCTCCTATCAGAGCATTGAGGAGGAAGACAAAAACAAAATTAAAAACTATCGATATAATAAAGTCATTACTCTAAAGTCCTGAGAAAATCCGAACAATGAAATCTAGCCTCCATAAAATTACCAAGCTATACGTGCTTACAAACAAAAACATATTGTTACTTACTTGGGTACAATGATAGATTCTAATGAAAATAGGATTCACTATCATAACAAATTTTTTGAATTGCCAATTTGTGACATCAGCCAAATAAGTTTTGCCTTTGATAAGCCAAACAGCGTGATCAAGATAAATGCTCACACAGCCATGTACTACGCATACTTGATAATGAAAAGAGCTGAAAGCAGCATAAAATAGAGTTTCAAGTATTTGATCAATACAAATTTCTACAACTTGGATGTGTGATTTGCAGTCCTCACAACTTTGGTCCATGTGCAACATCATTCTTAAAAATCTTGTACATCCCAAAAATCTTCTACACAAACTGGACAGGGCAAAATAGCGCAAGCCTTAAAAAAAATGAATCTGACCTCGTGGCACCGCTCTGACTCGACAACACAACTGCAGAAATACTCGATCACCTTACTCCGTCTGAAACCGACGAACTCCCTACCCTCCTCTTGTCTACAAACATCTGACGGAATTCACTCCCCATTTTAAAAAACATTGATTTATCATTTTTTATTTTCTGTAAGTTATAAGCCTTGCAATCCTAATTCACATAGCAGACTTGGATTTTTAAGAGTTATGATAATTATTTATCCCTTTCCACCAATAACAGAGGAGTCAAAATCAAATTCATTCAAAAATCCCATTTGATCAATAATGCACTGATATTAACCATCTCTTGAATACACTCCAAAATATCAGTATTCCACTTCCATAGAAAGTTCATATTTATTATTCATCCCACTATTTCTAAATGCGAAGTAAAAACAGTCCCTCTATTTTTGTACAAATTGGAGAGCCCACACATAAGAACCAAAACAGGAAATCAAAACAAAAAGTCAAGCTCAAAGATGTAGTTTACTATCACAATTGAAACATGTACTCCTAAAGTCACTCTCAAAGATTTTTTTCGCTTTTTCTCACAGCAAAAATTAGAAAAAATAGGTAGAGATTTAGGCTAAACTGTTTGTGTTGCGCACGCGAGTCAAATTTTGATCAAATTTTGACAAAATTTGTAAAAATTCGATCACATAGTAGACTTTGGCAAATTCTGTCATAAAAAAAAAAAATTGCACACACATCGCATGTGCTTCGGTCTCTAGTCATAAATAAAAGAAATCCAGCCACACGGACGTAACCAACAAAAGGAAGCTAGCACACCGTAACTTTCCTCAAACACAAAAAAAAAAAAAAAAAAACAAGCAAAAAGATACGCTCATGACTCAAATAATTAACCCATAACCACCGAAACCTTTGATTGTTCACCAACACACCACAGGAAACACAATTTGGCAAGTGCAATTGTGAAACGAAAAAACCCCAAAATCACAAAGAAGAAAATAAATTGGAAAAATCATAAAAATCAAGCAAAACCTTAGAAGAACATGCAGGAGCCGTCGATCTAAGCAATGAAACAAAGCAACCTGAAAGGCACAACACGTCCATAAATCGACACAGAAAAGAGAAATCCAAGAAACAAGAACCGAACCTGACGGAACGACCAACAACCGCTAATTTCACCACCGAAACCTTTGATTGTTCACCAATAAACCGCAGGAAACGCGATTTGGCAAGTGCAACAGTGAAACGGAAAAACCCCCAAATCACAGTGAAGAAAACAAATTGAAAAAATCACAAAAATCAAGCCAAACCTTAGAAGCACATGCAGGAGCCGTCGATCTAAGCACTGTCTCCTCATCGTCCGTCGCCTAGGCTTCTCCTTCTTCCGTCCAACGCTGCCTCCTCTCTCTCTCTCTCTCTTCTATCTGCTCCAAACCAGATGAAGGAAAGGTAAAGGCACCGCTGATTTCTTCCGTTCATTCGGTCTCCAACACAGTCTCCTCTCTCTTTCTCTCTCTTATCTGCCACAAACAACCAGACGAAGGAAAGGTGAAGGCAAAAGAGGAGACGTGGCTTCATCTGGGCCAAGTCCTTCGCATGAGGCAAATGGATGAAATTACCCTCGGTGCCAAAACCGGTGGCTCCCCAATTGAGGGGTACAATTGGAAAATCTGGACAAATTGTGCCGACCCATCCAATTTGGTTCAATTCTGTATTTAAGCTTAGATATTAAGATCTGGGGGAGGGGGGCTGCCGCCTCTTCCTCCCCCCCTCCCTCTCCCCTCCTCTCCCTTCCCCCTACTCCTTCTCTCCTCCCCACCGGTGTATCTTTTCCCGGTTTGAGAATAGGAGTCGTTGAGTTCGTGGTGACCAAGCTTCGAGTTCTCCGACCTCCGGCCGGCGACCTGTGGGCTGGAATCGCCATGTCTCCGCCTTGTCTTCCCAAATCCGGCGACAAGTGGCTGTTGGTGAGGTAATAACGGTGTGTGGGGTTAGGTTTTGATGGGTTTGGGCTTTTTCCTTTTTTTTTCCTTGTCTTTTCTTCTGCTTCCGGCCGCTCTTGGCTCGGTTTCTACCGACGGGTCTCCCCTGTCTGATCTGTGCCGGTCTAGTTCGCTAGATCTGGTGGGTGTTGGGTGGTGGGTGAATAATTTTTTTTTAGTTAAGGGTTTGGTGCTGGCTGAGTAGTAGTTTCTAGTGATTCAGCTTGAGTGTTGGTGGTGTTTTGGTTTTCTCGGCATCGGCTTCGGCGGTAGGCGGTGGCGGTGTTAGGGTGAGCCAGGATTCGATCTTCTTCTTTGGTTGGCTGTGGTATCACTTTTGCTCGGAGGTAACAGCAGATCTTGCGGAATGGAGTTTGTTCTTCGGCAGCTGCGGGCGCGCTAGGCCTCCTTGGCGCTGCCTTGGTCTTCGCACTCGGTGCCTCGCGTGGCAACGGAGGCTTGCCTCGGAGCCCCCCTCGGTGGACTCCACAGCTTTGATTGGGTCTCCCGGTCTAGTTCCGGCCGGCGGCCGTTGAGGCGTGTCCTTAGGAACATTTCTTTATTTCGTTTGTATTTGTTGTTGCATGATTGCATCTGCGCTTAGTGTTTTAATGGTTTGTGCTGGGATCCCGTTTTGGTATCTCTCTGCCTAGTTCTGGATGGGATTTCTAGGCCGTCACTTGTAACGGGTGCTTTTGCAGGGTGTCCTCGAGTCTGTAGCCTGTTGTACTTAATGCAGTACTCGTGTCTCGGATTAGGTAGTTTGGTGCATTCCTGTTTTTTGCGATGTAATCTTTACCTTCGGGTTTGGTTAATGAATTGCCTGATATTCCAAAAAAAAAAAAGAGAGGATATTAATTGTGTTATATATATATATATATAGTCCCCTTCCATTGCGGATGCCCGTATTGAAACAAGTTGCGGACCACCCCATTTCTCCTCTTTCCCGATTGAATTTTGATGATCCTAACCATTCAATGTGTTCAGAACGTGATTTTAAGGGTACCCACGAGAAATCGGAAAAAAAAATGACCGGGAAGGGCCTGATTTGAGCAGTTTTTATTTGAACCGTTCCATTAAAAATAAACAAAAGCTGCTCGGATGAAGCCCTTCCCGGTCTTTTTTTTGATTCTCATAAGTACCCTTAAAATCACGTTCTGAACACATTGAGCGGCTCGGATCATCGAAATTCGATCGGGAAAGGCAAAGTCCGCATTTAAGTTAGTTGCGGGCGTCCGCAACGGAAGCCCACTGTGTATATATATATATATACATACACACACACTCCTTTTCATATCCGGATGCCCGGATTTTCTTATGGTCTGGATTTGTGCCTTAGCTCCCATTTTCCGATCGATTTACGATGATCCGAGCCGCTCAATGTGTTCAGAACGTAATTTTAAGGATACATGGGAGAGATCAGCAAAAAAAAAAGACCGGGAAGGGCTTGATCCGAGCAGTTTTTTTCTGAACCGTTCAATAAAAAAACTGCTCAGATCAAGCCCTTTCCGGTCTTTTTTTTTGGTGATTTCTCGCGGGTACCCTTAAAATCACGTTCTGATCACATTGAGCGGTTTGGATTATCGCAAATCGATTGGAAAATGAAAAATCCGGACCATAAGAAAATCCGGGCGAGTGGATATAAAAATTACTCTATATATATATATATATATATATTAAGGGTTTCTGGTATTAAAATTAATCACTTGCTAAGGTTAATAAAAGAATGAATCAATCTTAATACCATCTCATTGTAAACATGCACTTACGTAACTTTTCATTGTAAAAACCAACAACAGGTAATAAACACATTAAAAATATATAGTAACCGAACACCAAGTCGCTGTAGTATAGTGGTAAGTATTCTCGCCTGTCACCCGGGTGGTTCGATCCCCTGCAACGGCGCTCTATGCATCTTGTTTGTTCCTTTGATTGATTCTGTTTTGTTCTCTTTCCTTCTTAAAAAGAATTTTTTAAAAAATTCCTCTTAGATTCCTTCTACTTTCAACATTTCTCTTTCTATCTCACTCCACTTATTATCCCTACTATTTTTTAAAAAATCTTCAAAACACAATCCAAACACAACAACTTTTGCCATTTTCCTTTTCCTTGCTTTCCCGACTTCAAGCTTCATTTTAGGGGGGAGGACCAGACCATGATTGTCTCTCCGTACTCCCATTTTCTGCGTTACTCACACTCACACGAAAACCCTTTTCATTTTCCGCGTTACTCACACTCACACGAAAACCCTTTTATAAGAGTAAACCCCCCCCCCCCCCCCCATAAATGAGAGTCAAAAGATGGCAAAACCAAAACTTACTTTTTTATATTCATGGGAGCAATATATATACACCAGGAGGTCCATACTTGGATGGATAAGATTACAATCAACTTAACCGAATCAGAAAAGATAGGGAAAAGAAGACAAAGATAAACTACACTACTAGATGAACTACAACGACACAACAAACTAATCCAAAAGATAATTATTAAGGCTAAGACTCCCCCTCAAGTTGGAGCTTGAATGGAATGAACGCCCAACTTACAACTAAGTTTCTGAAACTGTTCTTTGCCCAATGCCTTAGTGAAGATATTCGTGATCTGGTCAAAAGTATGGTCATAGGATGCGCGAAGTAAACCCTACTGTATTTTCTCACGCAAGAAGTGACAGTCAATTTCACTGTGTTTTGTTCGCTCATGAAACACTGGGTTGGAAGCAATATGGATAGCAACTTGGTTATCACAAAACATAGTCATTGGTTAAGAATGAGTAATACCCAGGTCGTGAAGAAGATAACGAAACCATTGAAATTCACTAGCTAATTGAGCCATTGAGCGATACTCGGCTTCCGCCGAGGAACGAGAAACAATGTGTTGTTTCTTTGTCTTGCATGCGATGGGACTATCACTAAGCATTGTACAATAACCTGATGCAGAATGACGAATGGTAGGGCAACTTGCCCAGTCCGAATCACAGTACCCTGATAGATGAAGAGAACTGGAAGATGACAATAAAATACCATGTCCTGGAGTACCCTTGAGATACCGAAGGATTACCAGCATCCATGTGGGGTAATGAGGTTCGTGCGTAAATTGGCTGAGAACATGGACTGCAAATAAGATGTCGGGGTCGGGTAATGGTTAAGTAAATAAGCCGACCCACGAGACGACGTTATGAGCTTGGGTTGGATAAAGGATCACCGTCATCAGGACGCAATTTTAAATGCTACTCCATATGAAAAAGAGACGGGCGACAACCAAGCATCCCCATGTCACGTAAAATATCAGGAGCGTATTTCCGCTGGCATAGATGGAGGCTCTTTTTGGAACGGGCAACTTCAATACCAAGAAAATATTTTAAGGCGTCAAGGTCTTTAATGTGAAATCTGGTTGCCAAGAATCCTTTGAGAGCAGCTATGGCAATAGGATCGGTATCGGTGACAAGTATATCGTCCACATAAACAAGAACAAATGTTGACGAGGAGCCGGAGACTTTGACAAAAAGAGAATAATCGGCCTTCGACTGACGAAAACCAGCAGCATACAAGGCAGAAGAGAACTTTGAAAACCAGTTTCGAGATGCTTGTTTTAAACCATATAAGGACTTATTTAGTTTACAAAATCAATGCTCCCCTTGTTTGTGAAAGCCCAGTGGAATGTGCATATAAACGTCTTCATCTAAATCACCATGAAGGAAAGCATTATGAACGTCAAGTTGATGGAGAGACCAATTCTTAATAGCCGCCACAGCAAGCAGACATCGAACAGTGACAAGTTTAGCCACTGGAGCGAAAGTCTCATGATAATCAAAACCTTCTTCTTGAGTGTAGCCCTTGGCAACAAGACGAGTTTTATATCGTTCAATCGTCCCATCAGATTTGAATTTCACCTTGTAAACCCATTTACAACCGATGGGTTTTTTGCCTGGAGGTAAAGCGGTGAGAGTCCATGTATTATTCTGTTCGAGAGCTGTAATTTCTGCTGTCATAGCATCCTGCCAATGAGGAATTTTCACAGCTTCCGAGAAAAATTTAGGTTCGACAGCAGAATCAAGAGCAACAAAGAAAGCCCAATGAGAGGAAGATAACTTATCGTAGAAAGAAAATGATGCAATGGATAAGTCATACCTGTCTTTGAAGAAAAGATGGAATGTGGAGAGGATCCATGGACTTAGGAACAATGAAAGTCTTGAAGATAAGCAGGGGGACGACGTTCCTAGACAGGTCGTGATGGAGCAGGACTTGAAGGGGTTGGTGAAGAATTTTCTGGTGTTGGGTTGGATGGAACAGTAGACGTGGAAGGAGTGCCTAAATATGGTTGTAAAGAAGGAAAGTCAGGCAATGGTAAGGGTAACACTGGTCCTTCTTGTGGCTGGGAAAGAACATCCTGGAATGGAAATTTGGTCTCACGAAAGACAACATGACGAGACACGGAGATTTTTTTTTGTTTCAAGGTATTTACGATAACCTTTAAGCCCAAATGGATAACCAACAAAAATTCCAGGTTTAGCTCGAGGATCAAATTTATGCGTAGACGGATCAGTATTGATAACAAAGCATAAACAACCAAAAACACGAAGCGCTCTAAAATTTGGTTTAGTTTTAAGTAAGACTTCGTGTGGGGTTTTTTCGCAAAGAACGGGAGTGGGAATTTTGTTGATTAAATAAGCTGCGGTGAGGACACATTCACCCCAAAAGGTTAGAGGTAGATTGGCTTGGAAACGAAAGGCACGAGCAACATCTAGAAGGTGTCGATGCTTTCGTTCGACAACTCCATTTTGCTGGTGAGTTTGAACACAACTTTGTTGGTGTAAAATCCCATGTTCCCGAAAGAAATGTTGCAAATTATGATGGAAAAATTCTTGGCCCTGATCACTTCGTATTTGTTTTACCTGAGACTGATATTGAGTGGAAACCATGGCAAAAAAGGATTGGAGATGAAACTTGGTTTCAGATTTATGTCGCATGAGGTAGACCCAAGTACATCTACTAAAATCATCCACAATTGTAAGAAAATAATGTGCACACGACCAGGATGGAACAGAAAAACGACCCCAAAGATCACAATGTATCAATTCAAAAGGTGCCCTGGTATGAATTGAACTAACAGGAAAGGGAAGCTTAGCTTGTTTAGCAAGGGGACAAATATGACAAAGGCATTTATTAGAACAAGAAATGAAATCAAAATCTGTTGCTAAAGATTTTATTCTCTCATGAGAAGGATGTCCCAAGCGCCAATGCCAAAGATCAAAAGGCGAGGTGGAAGAGACCATGAAGGCTTGAGGAGGTTGAAGGAGGTAAAGTCCATCATGCATCCTGCCCATTCCAATCTTCTTCTTTGTTGACTGGTCCTGAAATACACAATGATCAGGAAAGAAAGTGACGAAGTATTGGAGAGAACTTGTAAGCTGACTCACAGAGATAAGATTATACCGAAATGATGGAACAAAGAACACATTAGTAAGGGAAAATTCAGATGTGAATTGGACTGTACCAATGTGAGTGACAGCCACTTGTGTTCCATCAGGTAATTGAACACGTGGAGATATAATGCATGGGGAATATGAAGAAAAAAATGTAAGATCGGAGCACATGTAATTTATAGCTCCTGTACCGATAATCCAAGAATGAGAAGTGACATACGAAAGAGCTTTACCTGTAAGATTTGCCGTGGAGGTAGAAGTACCTGAGAAAGTATGGCAAGAATTTGTTGATACTGGGCTTGAGTGATTGGAGCAGAAGGTTGCATGTAATTAGTATCTAGGGGTGTGGCAGCAACATGCTCAATTGTGGTAGCAAAAGTGTTACTCCTACGAGTTTGACTCGAAGACCCGCCAAAAGATTCATTAGCAGGCACAAATGAACCAATCGCATGAGTTTGCAAACCTTTCTTCTTGGCATTAAGAGGATAACCGTGCTTCTTATAACACTTTGCTTCTATGCGCCCGTCTTGATCACAATAGTTGCAATGAGGTCTGCGAGATCTATATTGCGAATCACGGCTATTAGCAACAATAAGAGCTGCTGCTTCAGGAACCATGGCTGGAGCATGATGTAATTCACGTTGCTTTTCTTCTTGCAGAAAAAAGAATAAATCTTCTGAATGGAAGGCAATGGCTCGAGAAGCAGTAATTGACTCCGCAAGTTCGAATAAGCGCTATCCAAACCTTGCAAAAATTGCAGGACCTGATCTTGATGATATACATCTGATACTGCTTTGATGGCTCCACAAGTACAAGCTGAAAGTGCAATATAGGAAGATTGCTCATCCCAAAGACTTTTAAGCTTTGTAAAATACTGTGACACAGACATGTTTCCTTGAGTAGGATGAGATATTTCTCTCTTTAGCTTGAACAACATTGATGCATTGGGTTGAGAAAAACGATCATGAAGATCATCCCAAACTTCCTTAGAAGACGTGTCGTATGGGATATTGCCCTGAAGTTTTGGTGAGATAGAGTGAAAGATCCAAGAAGAAACCAAATCATTGCAGCGTTGCCATTGGTGAAGTTGATTAGGCGAGGTGGGTTTAGGAATTTCACCAGTGACGAATCCTAGCTTACCATACGCATTTCTCGAACTCATTTACTATAATTATCTGGTGTTAACAGGGGTGAAACAAGAATGGAGGTAGGGCTATCGGAGTGATGGATAAGGTATGGATCATTTAGGTCATTAATTGACTTTGACAGAGATGATGTTTTTTCTTTCATAAGAAAGAAATGAAGATGGATAATTTAGTTTGACTTTGATACCATAGTAAATGAGAGTCAAAAGATGACAAAATCAAAACTTACTTTATGATATTCATGGGAGTAGTATATATACACATGGAGGTCCATACTTGAATGGATAAGATTACAATAAACTAAATCGAATGAGAAAAGATAGGGAAAAGAAGATAAA